TGCAAAAGACTCGTACCTACAGGCAAACAAAACATTTATAACACAGCAAAAAGTTCCCCGCATTCATAAAAATAACACAACTAAGGAATATGTAAAAGGTTTCCTCAACTTAGATCTTAGGGTAATACAAAGCTAGAAATGCATCGGATAGAAGAACATACTGAACTTTCAAATTTTTGTATTTCAGAATTATGAAGATAAAAATTTCCAAGCAATCTCGTAATAGCACTAGTAATTGATAATTCTTCAAGAATCCAAACTTCTTAACTATCAAACTTTTGGTTAAATCTAAGCATTAACATCTGGCGTGAAATCAGGTAACACCATAGTTAATACCCAGGAAAATGTATTTAATTACTGATTAATTATCTTCAATTAATAATGTAATTAAGTTTTCACAGTACAGCCTCTATGCTTTTCAGGAACTTCAGAGAATCATGAGAATCTTACTACTTTTCTAATTTTCATGAAGTTTCACTTTAGACCATTTAGACGAGACATGATGGGTTCCCTGTTGTTGGCATGAAGTTTAGAGTGCAGTGAGAGTGAAATTACATAACATGAGAAGTGACACATAAGTGTTATCACTCAACTCAACACAGTTTACATTTAGCGATGCAAAGATGTGAAGATCTTTGTGTTTAACACAAACTGTCACATATACACACTGATAAGAGGGCAAGAATGTACCAGGCATTGGATGGATTCCGTTCTGTATTGGGGCCAATGGTACCTTTGCAGGCATGGGACACTTCATCAGATGATACTGATGCTCAAGCAAATGATTGAATAAAAGAATTTGCTTTTTCAATTTTAGCCTGATATAGTAGGCCCTGAAGAAATCTGCGTTCTCTTCCTCCAACTTCTGCCATACTGAATTAAAAAGGACCGGTTACAAAGCAATGGGACATGAGTCTGCATCTACTTTAAAAGGTATTGAAAAGATACAAGAAGGCAAGTAGTTCCATATTTTCTATAAAAGCTTTAAAATTATGCTAATTAGCATGTAATCTAACACATGAATCGGATAACAAATCATTTAAACATTTGCCACAAATATCATTTACAATAGTTATATAATTAATTACAATTCACAGTGCAATACATAGATGGCATGACGAAGACCTTAAGATGCCTACCAAGGGTAGTGAATCCAGGATCTATCTTTGCCCGTGTCAATAGTGTTTTAACCACTTCATCTTTATTCATATATAACTGTAGGCATCTTTCTATTAAATTCTGGACCTGTTTGAATATGTAATCCAAAAGACAAAAATAAACAGATTAATTCAGTTAAACTTCTGCAGATAATTCTAATAAAAATTCAATCCTTGACATATAGGAAGCACGGGGAAAATGGGAAATAACAGAAAACTAATCAAATGTTCAGCAGAGAACAGATATCCTTACAAACTCAATATCCTGCCGTGAAACTTTTTTACTGTCATTGCTTGTAGCAGATGCTGAGCCTGTGTCTGTAACAGGAGCATCATTTGTGTGATTGTTTGGTTGTTCACTCTTAGGCTCATGAGAAGCTTGAGTTGATGACTGCAATTCTTCTGAGCTCTGTAAATCCATAAAAGATTAGCTTAGTGTAACTACAACAAATGTAAGCAGCCACAGGAGTTATGAAGGAAATTTAGAGGATTAGGCATATCGATGTAGAATGCCAGAAAGCCTGCAGATCTTTAATGTTCAGAACATTAAATATGTACAAACTAGTTTGCTTCTACAAGCATTACAACAAACTAGACAACTGGAAATGGCAAGGACATTTTATTATTTTTCGGGGAAATACTGAATTTTGCCTCTCGTTAACCTCCATAATGTTCAAATTTGATAAAAGAATTATATCATTGCGTTTTGAGTAATAGACCTTCATTCCATAATTATTCAGTTAGATTCCTATTGAAGAACAATTAGATTCAGAACAACTCCATCACTTGTTAACTTAATAATTAGTTATTGCTGGCAACACCAGTGACAGATTAGATAACAAACCACCATGAAAAACCTCCATTTCTTTGATTTTAAAAGCACAAACCATTATCTCAATGCATACTGTGAAATTCACTATGGTAACCGACCATTCCCTTTCCCTCGTCATATCAACCCCCTTGTTGGTACACAAGTGCAAATCTTATAAAGGTTTTCCACCAAAACAACCAAATTAACAATGTCATATAAACACGAACTAAACCATTCTATATCCATTCAAACCAAGTGACAAACACCCAGACTACAAAAGATTATACGGGAGGAATTAAGAAAAAGTTACAAATAAACTCTATTAGCAATGACTGGCATACGTAATAAATGTGCACTCAGTGATAACAGAACTACCACTGCTACTAAATTGGGCTAAAATTATTTGTTAAAGTTTATAAATTAGAAACTTTTCAATTCTCCGACCATGATAGATGGTTGAACAAAGACATACCAAACCACAGTGATGTTTCAGATTTAGCTAATAAGGGGAATAATACGCTTATGTCGATTGAATTAAGTAGTTTCATAAGGGTAAATTTGTCTTTCTCTCAGCAAACAGCACAGCATGCATCAAATGGTTGGCTGTAACTAGATTTTAAAAGGAATAATATCATGCATATATATTCTCAATGTTGACATCCAATAAGGCCAACTGTATATTAGATTCATAAACTTAATCATTGCGATGGTGGATATTGCAAACTATGCACCAAATACCAAGATAAAAAAACATATAACAGGGGAACCTGCAAGTTCTTCATTTCAGCAGAAAGAAGGCTGACTGCATGTCTTTCAGGGATTTAAGTAACCACTAACAGTCTTCGAATTCAAGTTTGTTTGCATTTATGTCAATAACACTCCCAAGTTGAAGCAGTCTTCATATGAAACAAGAGGAGTAATGAGAGAATGGTAAACCATACCGCTTAAATAAGCATATGGTTATTTAATTCAACAAAAACCAAATACCTTTAAACAAATATAAAATAAAAATAAAAAATAACATGTTCTACATCAGAGAGAACCTCATGTGACAAAGAAAATGTAGTTGCCACTTGTCTGTACTGTTGAAAATCTTTAAAAGGAAAATAAGGTCCATTAGCTGTGCAATTAAAAATAAAAATACCCAGAAAGGAAGGATGACAAATGCATTTATTACTACACTAAAGTAGACATAAGCAAATTAGTGCACCCAGTCTAAGATGACGCAAAAAAGCATAACTTCCATAGTTTTTATCTTTTCAGTCAACTTAGTAATTTCACCATTCCTTGTAAAAGAATAAATCAGATGAGAATCCATGGCGTTTAAGATGAGTGGTAAAATTCTTCAGCCAGAAAAAATAAATTAAAAATTAAAGTCGGTTCGGGTTCTCCAAGGATTAAGCAATAATTAATCTCTCAATTTAGAAACCACGAGAAAAGGGAAGAAGAGAATGCAATTATTTTCAGAAAAAATGGCAGTCGTGAACCAATGTCTTCCTCCAATGGATCCTAAGTATCCACAATTGATTCAAACGGTAGAACAGACAAAAAAACAGAATTTTTCAAATCTTAAAAAAAGGAATTGGTGAACAAATTTGGAGCAAACCAGATCTCAATTGTCAATGAGATGCTGAGAGGTGAAGTAGAAGAAACAGACGAATTCATCAAGCAAAGAAACACCTTCAAGGAATAAACTTTCCAAGCCACCAAAGAAGAAAGCACCCCCAATGTCCCCGAAAACAAACACCCCATGAAGCAAATAAGGGAAATGAAGATCTACCAAATATATTACCTCACAGCAAGTTCCTGAATCTCCAACCAGAAAAAGAAAAACACAGTTATATCGACAGATTTAAAAACCCCACCAGCTATTTCAAGCTTAATTAGCTTGAAAAAGATGCATCAACTCATGGGAAGGGAAAAGGAATGGAAATTTAGGAAAAATAGGGAAGGCTGGCGAGTGGGGGCTGAGGTTGAAAGAACGAAGAAGTGAAGAGTGAACAATAATAATAATAGCATTTGAGGTTTAAGAAGATATTTTGAAAAGGTTGGAAAATGATATTTACATTAGGGACACAAGTCTGAATGACAATGAGGGTGCTTGAAGAAAATTACAGTGTGTATGAGAGAGAGAGTGTGTGTGTGTGTGAGAGAGAGAGAGAGAGAGAGAGAGAGAGAGAGAGAGAGTTGTTATGTGCAAAAGGTTAAGAGAGGGTGAAAGAGATGCCCTGTGGAAAATTTAGGAACGGGAAATCAAATTTTGAAAAATATATTCTACTAACAATTTTGGATGGTGACTTCTTTTGACTCATTTGCTTTGGACTTTTTATTATTTATTTTTTCTAGTAAGTAAATAATAAATAAATAATGATGAGTAAAATTAAATTTGTGTTTATATTTATATAAGACAAAATATAGAAGTGTTCAGATCCATGCGACTCAAGCCGCTGATTTATCGGCTTTAAACAAAACAAAAGAAACACCAAACTAACTGGTTCGAAATTAATGTTTATAATTACAAAAAAATAATGCTTATTTAATTGTATGGATGACTCACGGTTAACTTTGAATTAGATGGTTTAGATTGTCATTCATGTTACTCACATAATCAAGCATTAATTACTTCTAAGATTGAATGACTGGATCAATAGTCAAACAGTCAATTTATAAAGAGACTATCTGATCAATTTAAGATAAAGCATAATTATTATTTATTATACTGTAATTAGATTTTTATTAGTGTAAAGTTTATTTTGAAAAAAGAGATAATGATCAATAATTTGTATGGATGGTGAAATACAATTTTAACATAAAAGTACCTTCTGTAAGAAAAACAAACATTTAATGACTCAATATAACATTGAACAGTTGATCTGAACACTACACATTGAAACATTTTTTAGATGTAAAATATATATATATATATATATATATATATATAACTTTTATTTTAAATATTATTTTAAAAAATCTTTAAATAATTCGTCAACATAAATGTTTGCAACAAAGAATGGAGTATATACAAACTTTGTCGATACTTAATTTTGATTGAGAAATCTCATTTGACTATTTTTTTTCTGTAAGTGTGTTTTAAATATAATTAACTTTAAATGTACTCGATAAATATCATGTCACATTTAGTTATTGAAGATGTTCCAAGTCGACAAGAATTGTCAAGCACACGAAATGGTCTTCAGATTACTTCTAAAGTTATCTTTTTTGGATTCAAATCTTCAATCTATTTCAAACCAACCATACAAAAGTACACCTCAAACCATAAATACACAACAAGCTGAAATTAATAGAAAACTAACGAAAGAGAAAAAACACCGAACATAGTAAAATATGTTATGAAAAACAGTACATTAAAACTAAAATATTTACAAAACCAACGATTGGAGGTTGAAAGGTAATTGTGCAAATAATTTAGGAGATAAAAAATATTTGTTGTAAATACTAAATAAAATAAAATAATTTCAGCAAGGTTGGAAAACTTTATAAAATCATTCTTTGAAGAATATGTATGATACTTGTCATTTTTCTTTTTCTCGCAATCATAAGTTAGCCTCTAATAATTAATTTGACAAAATAAGTCAGAGAATCATATGGGAATCATTATATATAGTATAAAGATTTGGAATCAATTTGTTAGCTTAACATTTTCTTATGAAAGAAATTGAATAATGAGACTTTTGTGTCTTCTTCTAATCTAATTGAAGAAAACTATTTATGATAGGGAAAGATGATGAAATAGGAGATAGAACCAAGCATGCTCAATTAGGTATATTATTAAATTTAGAAAATCAACCATTTGATGTTTGATTTCCAAAACTAAGCATGTTTTATGTATGGTAATTAGAAAACCTGTTTATACAAAACAGTTTAAAACATTAAGTTAAGTTTTATGAGATAAACTTAGATAATAAATCATATCTTGTTATAAAATGAAAATCTTAATTCAAATAATTTATCTAAACACTTTAACTAAAACATTAACGTAGGTTGTTTTAGTGATTTTTTTTAATTTAAACATTATAATATTTTTTAACATGTTTATATTGTGCATTCTTAATTTATCGGTCATCATTCAATTTTTCTGAGATCGATATGGTGTAAAAGAAAGTGAATAATAAAAAAGAAAATTAGAGAATAAAGTAAAATTGTTTGAATTAAGTAAGAGAAATTGACAAAGAAAAAGAAAAATCAAGCAAAAATATTGTTTAGAAGTAACTGTAATTGAAAGTTTATAAATTTTAGTTCGTTTTGCACTTTGGATTAATGCACATAATCATTTACGATGAAGCCATAATCAATCATGTCGCGCTAGTTATAAATAATATATTCACATGGTAAGTCTATTAAGACAAAGTATCAAAACACGAAAGATTTTAGTTTACATAATTGATCATTAGTTATGACGAACTTAAACTAAAACATTATTTTTCCCTTCTCATTCTTTTTCTATAAAATATTTCTTACGGTCTTAAATACAATTGCATACATGTTATCTTCCTCTTTCGTCTTGTCTTCAATTGTAACTCAAATCTTCATATCTTTCAAGATCAAATCCTATATATGTGGTAACAATGTAAGAAGCACACCCATTTCTCAAGTTCATTTTTTAAATACATTTTATCTTCACAATCTTCCGTAAGTTTTTAAATACATTTTATCTTCACGAAGTTGAATTACTATATATTTGATTGAACTATTTTTATTTTGTAAAGTGGTTATATTGACTCTAAATTTAAGATAATTGATTTGGAAGTAGACGAGTGAGGTTTGAAATAGAAATCGATGAAGTTAGAAATGTAATTTAACTTTGAATGATTTAATTTATTTATTTGGTTCTAAAAATATTAACTACCCATTGGACTTTGAAGTAGGTTTTTTCAGCTAGAACGAAAATGTTATGTTATCAGATTAGAATGGTTTTTGTAATATATATATATATATATATATATATATATATATATATTATATCGTCTGAATTGTTCCAAATTAATTGTTTAAGTTGAAGAAAAAAAATCCATCAATGTCATTCAGATTCAAATCATACAATTAAGTTAAATAAATTAGTAAATAAGTATATCAAGATTATCAGAATTATATAAAAAAAATCTATAAATAAAAGTGAAAGATATAATTTTTAAAAATTTAATAACGCATTTATTAAAATATTAATTATTAAACTAATAGAATGTCAATCAATTGAAATATTTAAAAAGAGAAGAAAAAAAGTGAGAAACCGAACACTCGACCTTATAGACCTAGATCGATAATTTAAATCTTACGTTGAGATCACAAGACTTACGAAAAGTACCGAAGTCTTCCCTTTCAAACGTGTGAAAAAATAAATCGATACAAATTCACCTTTAGTGAAGAGCTTCATGGACACGTTTTAGCAAGCAATAGAGCACAAGTTTTCACACATATATGAAACAAGAAAATTATTTAATTTTGTTGTGTGGTGAAGAGATACCGAGAGAGAGGGTTGGCATGCAAAATGATTGAAGCAATTAGAGTGATGGGCGTGGTCTGCACAAAGCAGCAGATGCATGTCTTTCTTTGAGGTCTCGGGTGAGAGAGAAAGAAGGAATGAATTTGTTCAAAAGCCACCACACTGCCAAGGCTGAATCATTCGTTCATCGCTCTGACCTAATTAGCGGATCTATGTGGAAAATGACAAAACCCCTTATTGCTCTCCCAACTTGTTCCTTGTTTGCTTTATATATATACTCTCTTCTCTCTCTCTTTTCTTTATCACTTTCTTCCTTTCTCAATTTACGCGTGGTCCAACCCATCCTCTACTCTTATTCCAAACTTCTCCTTCCTTTATAATAACTACGCTTAATTCATCTATTCTTTTCATTACATTAAATTCTACATATTTAAGTTCACCAATTAAATCTTTAGGATAACTTAGGTTACATGAGTTAAATCTTAGGTTAATTTGGTTACCTCAATATACCTCGTACTAGCTCGTGTGATAGGTCAATGATTAATACTGAGGCATATCTCATTAATTTGTTAACGTATTTTAATTATATTTTTTTCACGCTAATATATTGACAGTGTTGTTTGTTACTGATGTGGCTGGAGAAGAAAAGGCTGGCTCGTGAGCCGCGCATGTGCAGGGTAGTTTAGTTTGCTTGCGCTAATTATAATTAATTATAATTAATCTTGACTTAATAGTTTAAGTGGAGAGGGAATGGTTATTATTATTAGGATGATTATTATAAAATAGGAAAGCGGAGCAATAGGAAAGAGACACGTAAGAGTTAAGAGAGGTTTTGTTGGGATGCAGAGAGAAAGGGAGGGCTGATCCATTGTGGTTGAGAAGGCGACACGTGGCGAGTATTTAGCGGAGGATCGTGGTGAACGCGTGATCGTTAATAGTTAGGGTTTCTGTGGTGAAAATATAAAATAATAAAAATAATAATTTATTAAGAAAAAGAAAAGAACGACTTTCAAAATTCCCGCTAAGATTGTGATCTCGGTGGCTCTCGTCTACTAGTGCCCATCTCTCTCACCTCAAATCATTATTTCATATCTCACGCAATTAATTAATTAATTACT